GTCCCCCAGTGGGGAGGACAGCTTGGATGGGCCCCATGGGGTCTTGGGCTTCCGCCCAGGGCTGGGGGTCTCCATTGCCCCAAATTTTGTCCCCTCGGCGAAAGACACAGAGGGCCGCTTGGCCTTGGCGATGCTGGAGGTGCGGGGGATGGCGAAGGGCTGCGAGACATCCTCGGAGTCGAAGGCGGATGGGTCCGGGAGCACCTCGCTGCGGGGGGACGCCCCATCCTGCAGCTCAGCCCCCCCCAGCAGTGGGACACCTGCGAGAGAAGGGGACGAGGGTTAGGGCTGCCAGAGCTACCCCCCTTCTCAGGGACACGCTCGGGGACACCGGGACAGGGGCTGATGCAATAGGATTGTCCCTGGGAGTGTTTTCCCAGGAGGAGGTTGTGCAACGGGGGGGCTGCCCACACCAGGCACGTCCCATCGCACGAGCCCAAGCATGGCCCTGGGGTGCCCTTGCAGACAGGAACACGAGGGTATGAAAACACCGCTGCCTGTGCCCAGCACCCATCCTGGGGATGCTGGTGGTTGGGAATGGGGCAGGATTGATGCTGGGAAGCCCAGAAGGGCTGCGGGCGGCCAGGGAGAGGAGGAGCAGCCATTGATGTCACCTTCTCTGGGAGGGACGGAGTACTCGGGTCCCTCATTGTCCGTGTCGAAGGAGGAGGAGAAGGAGCTGTCTGAGACCCAGGCGGATGACGGCGGCTCGATGAAGCTGGGGTTGAAGGGAATTTCTGTGTCGTGGTGGGAAACTGGGGAGAAGATATCCAGCTGAGCCCAGGCACCCTGGGGTGCTCAGGGCTGGGGGCAGCAGAGCAACTCAGGCTCCCCCCTCAAAAGGTGACAGTGCAGAGAGCGTGGGGTGAGGGTGTCAGCCTGGAAGGGCTTTTCGGCAGCGACGCTTTTTTCACCTGTGACTTTGGGAAGTTTGTAGCCCCCCAGGGCAAAGCAAGGCATCATAGCGCTGAGGTTTGCCAGCACCCCCCGCACGTGGTGCTTCATCCTGGCCAGCACGTCGTCATCCGGCACGGCTGCCCTGCGTGGGGGAGACGGGCATGAAGGGACATGGGGGACAGGGTGTACACCAAAAGCTCCAAAATACAAAATAGTACCTGTCTCTCTCATCTGCTGGGGCAGCTCCGCAGCAGCAGCAGGTGACGCAGAGCAGCAGCAGCAGGAGTGGGACGAGGATGGCGGCTGCGAGAGCCCCATGGTCCTTCAAACCTGTGTGGAGAAGATGGATTGGCTCCGGCGTGTCCTGTGGCTGCTGAGCCCACGGAGTCACCCCACGGTGAGCGCAGGAGCCGGCGACCTGCAGCGAGGCCGGAAGGCACCGGGCAGGACCGGGCTGCATCGCAGCCCCCCAGCCCCTCCGTCCCCAGCGCAGACGTTACGGCCCCTTGCGCGGTGCCAAGGAGTAAATCTGCGGTTGCTCTTACTCAACACGCAGTTCCCCTGCATGGGGTGGCAGGTCCCCCGGGAGCACTGGCAGGGCGAGGAACAATTCACGCCGAAATACCCCTCCGGGCAGGTGTCGTTGCAGCTGGAAGAGAGAGGAAAGGAGGGTCTTTCACTTCAAGAAAGACACTGAGGGGTTGGAGTGTGTCCAGAGAAGGGAACGGAGCTGGGGAGGGGTCTGGAGCACAATTCCCGTGAGGAGGGGCTGAGGGAGCTGGGGGGTTCAGCCTGGAGAAGAGGAGGTTGAGGAAAGACCTTATCGCTCCCTACAGCTCCCTGAAAGGAGGGTGCAGAGGGGGGGTCAGTCTCTTCTCCCAGGTGACAAGTGATAGGACAAGAGGAAACGGCCTCAAGTTGTGCCGGAGGAGGTTTAGGTTAGATATTAGGGAAATTCCTTCCCGGGAAGGGCTGTCAGGGATGGGAACGGGCTGCCCAGGAAGGGGGGAGTCTCCATCCCAGGAGGGATTTAGGAGCCATGTGTATGAAGCGCTCAGGGACATGGTTTAGGGATGGTATGAGCGGTGCTGGGTTAAGGGTTGGACTTGATCTTAAGGATCTTTTCCCACCTAAACAATCCCATGATTCTGTGAAATGCTCCCACATAGAGCAGGGCTGGAGCCCTGCTCCACTCCCGGCGTTACCTGGCTCCCCAGTAGCCCGCCTGGCAGACGCACGCTCCTGACACGGGGTCGCAGCTCCCCGCGACACACTCTGGGCAGAGGAGCTGGCATCCGTCGCCGAAGG